CGTTTATCGAACTGGATGGCGGTACTAACTTCAAACGTATTATAAGTGACATTGATCGTTCTTTCCCTGGTCTCTTCATATGCGTTATATCCATTTAATACTTGAATTCAACATATTTGCTGACATATTAAAGAGGTTAATTATTCATAAAAAATTATTATCATAAAGGCGCTCTTTTTAGTTTTGATCCAAAATTCTATTGTCTATGGCACTCGCCACTGAACCGAAAAAATTCATTATAGTTCTATACATAGAACTTCCCTTTTTTTACTGTTTATTTTTTAAACATTCCAAAATTCCAAACAGGTTGTCTCAAGTTTTTTTTTTGTTGTTGTATTTATATACGTAAGTACTAATAGAAACACAACTATTTATATTGTTTCGAATTCGGGCTGGCCAATCGGAGCGCAGTTGCCACCGCAATGATTTGGCAGAATAATTTTCAAACAAATTAAATGACATTTCGTCTCTATTTCTGGTTATACCCGATGTTTGTAGCAAATATTTAATTGGAAGTAATAATATTTCGCCAATGAACTCTAATTTCAATAACTAATGTGCATATTCAAATGTCCACGCGAATGTCCACGTTTATTTATTTATTATCTTTTACTTCAGCTAAATTAACTCCCTCAATTCCGATCACTGCTTATTATACTATGATAGAGACTATAGCTCCTTCCAGTCCTTTCCGCCGTTTTTTTCCCGTTAGGCAAATGGATGGGTGGATGTTTTTATAACGATTTAGTTTTATCTGTGGTCATAAACCAAAGTCTATGGCGACAAATTGTAAAACCACCAACACTCAAGGACAGATAAAATTTTTATTATATTATTTTTATTTAATACACACACCGGTACATTTATCGGAACACTAGTAAAATCCTCAAAATAATACTTTTTTTTTTCAAGTTTAATCAGTTATTTTACTTTTTTATTTTATGTGTACAAAAAATTTCGCTCCTGCATTTTTTTAATTCCTTTGCTATTTTTTCCTTTGCTAAATTTATATTTTCTACTAATACAGGTTTGTCGTGTGGATTAATTTTGCGTCCTAGATTTCGTTCTTGAATTTTGCAAAATTTTGTTATAAAAATTTTTATTTATATAAGTTCGATTCAATCAATATTAAACCGTTGCAATTTTTAAATTTGTCACAAAATCGAAAAAAATATTTTTTTTATAAATTTTGAATTATTTTCAATAAAGTTAAATAAGGCTGTACTGGACTATGACCTAAACCCTCTTTTTAGAAAACACACGTACCCAGCAGTGAAACGAATAATAAGTTGATAATAGTGATGATTACTTATGTTATTCCTATGGTCGAGTTACCAATTTTTACAGTTTATACCACATAATCTTAGACAAATATCTGAGTGGAATATTCGTGTATTTATAACAAAAGTAACAAGTCATGTCAGAAATGCCGAATTGATTTTGCTATATCACAGCCTCAATAATAAAGTAACCAATTCGAAAAGTGACATTTAAAGCAATCTTATAAATAAATTAAATAATGACGTACGCAATAAAACTGTTATATGTTTATTTATCATATTAAATAGAATTGAATAATGTTTGGCACCATACAAAAGCATATTTTTTTAAATCTATTTTGCGGTATTCCTATTTGTTTTATAACATGACATCGTCGGACAAAAAAAGACAATATTTGGTTTACTTGTTCCATAGTAAACTTTTTTCTCAAATTGCTCTATAGAACAAACTATAAAAATTCTATAGTCAAATTGTCAGATCTTTGTGTCAACAACTTGGAACGCTAGCGATAACATAAGATTAAAATTTAATAGCGTTTTACATAACATATTAACACTTATCTATGTACATATTATTATTATTGCACGGTTAGTTCACCAGTTGAAAGTTGCTCAGCGAGCTATGGAACGAGTCATGCTCGGAGTTTCTTTGAAGGACAAGGTACGGAACGAGGTTATCCGACAGAGAACCAAGGTCATCGACACAGCTGGTAGAATAAGCAAGCTAAAGCGGCAGTGGGCTGGCCATATCAGTCGAAGAACCGATAATTGATGGGGGAAGCGAGTTCTTGATTAAAGGCCGCTCTCTGGCCAGATGAAACAGTTCCTGTTCTCAGTTGGGACAGCGATTGGGCGAAAATATCGCTGGTTCAAAGCCAGCCGAATCGAAGAAAAGTATAAGAAATATTTGTATCATTTACATATAGATTCTCATTAGGTTTGGTGACGTCAATAAGAAGTGGACTATGGAAAAAAATTGGGAAAAAATTATCACTTTATTCGATGACGTCATGTTTTATACAACAATGGGAACCCAATTTAGTGAGTTTCCCAAAACTAACTTTTGAAACTTCATTGGGAGTGCGATAATAAAACCTTACCCTTTATTTAAATATAGTGTTATAATATTGTGGAATTAATGAATGAAAAGAATATAACACATACCACATTACTAGTGTCATTATTTATACCAAAAACATTGTAACATATGCGAAGTCCTCGCAAGAATTACCAGCGTGAGAGTCGCAAATTATTTTATATCATAACACTGGGGAATTGGCAAAAAGATACGATAAGTTTTAGAGACTTTATATCGCCATGATGATAAAAGTAAGGGAATCACCAAACTACCGAGAATATAACCAGAAACAGAGACGAAACAAGGGCCATCCATCCCTGGCAACTCATCAGGCAAATGGACCTTACATCACTTTTAAATATCAATTCTCGTTTGCGCTGAAATCACAAATTAGTAAGCTGAAATGGTACAGCGCCAACAACTAAGCTGTTGTGTGTTGTAAGTGTACGTCTCTGTATATTCCAAAAATGTTTTGTATTTATTGCAATAAAGATAATATCTCAAACAATGAGGGACTGTTCCATTCGTGGTTTGGGAAAAACAGCATTTTTCAATTTTCTTTCATTATAACAAAGCTTAAGTTGAACTGGTCGATTCGAAGTGAAACAATTTACTACACCAGTCAATTGTTCCTAATTCGGAATGGCCAATAGGAGCGCAGTTGTCACCGTAATGATTTGGCAGAATAGTTTTCAAACAAATTAAATGACATTTCGTCTCTATTTCTGGTCATATACTCGATGCAGCATACTTATTATCGCGGAGTCGTCTTGACGCGATCGTGGTTAACCACACTTTTCGCAATAAGCTGACTCGTCGCGTCCCTACGAACCGATGACGATGACTTAGTGTCTTTCTCGCTCTTACGTTCATTTATGCTTTTTCTGACCTGCTGAATTTGATTCTGAGTTAGTAAATGTGGTGACTCCCTAATGGGTTGGCCAAAAAGTCCGTGTGGTATTTGCACTAACTTTAAACAAAAAAATAACATTTTGTTTTAAAATGTTTCATTGCTCATTTTGGTCATACTTATACATACATGGTCTAACTGCTTCCGTGGCCGAACCGTTATCATTTTGCCAAGCAGAGGTCTCGAGTTGGATTCCATGCCGGGGGTAATATTTGTATGGCCTACATTTATTAAACGACTTCAAAAAAGGAAGAGGTTCTCAATTCGACTGTATGTTCTTTTTTATGTATGTTACGCGATAACTCCGGTATTTGTGAACCGATTTTCATGATTCTCTTTTTGTTTGAAAGGGGGTACTTCCTTAGTGGTCCCATTTCATTTTGAAGAAAATCATCCACTTCTAAGGGTGGCTGTTCACGCATGAAGATTCATTTTTATAAATATCGCCTAACTTTAATTTAGGAGCAATTATTTTAATGGTTGATTTTGCTATTTCTCCCATTCAAGGCGTTTTTCTCTCAATATACTTTGAGTAGTGAGAACCGATTTTTATTATATCCAGTGTCAAGTCCTGTATAGTGGCGAATTAGGGGATATTTCAATAAAACTTAGCAAATAGACGTAATTCCACGTAATTTTGAGGTCGGTTTTTTTAGTACTCTGTACTGAGATTATTTATCTCATGAGTGTGGGTGTTATTTGTGTTTGTCTATTTGTGTGTCCATTACCTAGTGGTAATGGTAAGTGGTTTCCCTAGTGCATGGGCTATGAGTGTGTGCGTTATTATTATTATTTTAAAAACAATATTTTGGCGCGCATTTTAAGTATAGGTACAGATTACTTATTATTACTCTCATACAAAATCGAAAATACCTACGCTATAATAGACTAATAAATCTGACTAATGACACCAGGTGTTCACTACGAGGAAAAAGGAACCTAATAACGCGCTCAGAGAAGTGAAATTAATGTTGCCCACCGTGTGCAATCGTGCGGAACCAAATGCTCATAAATGAACGACTTGTATGAGCGCTTGTGCCGACGTCGGTACACTCAGCACTTATCGCGTAATCTTGAGCGAGTGACGCAGCCCTGGTATATGCGAGTAAATACGATGTTTATAATTTATGAAAAATACCAAAAATTGGTGCATCGCAATGGTGTCGTAATATCAAACCACACACATGTTTAAAAATCCATAAACTATAACAGTTAGTTTAGACGAGGACCTCAGTTACCGTATTTTTCAGTCTTAACAAAATTTTCTGAATGGACAGGACGTTGGTAATGAAAAAGCCACCAAACGACACTTACAGTGGTATTTATGTTAAGACAAGAATTTAAAATAAATGGGAATTGTAAAATTACCCGAAACATGGCAAAAGATTGTCATTTGATCAATTTAACATATATGAAACATTTCTAAATTGTGTAATGCGTGATATTGCCTGGTAATTTCGTAAGGCGAAAAACAGTCCGTTAATGATGTTATTCTGTCTGTACGGCTCAGTGTTGCCATGATTTCTATAGACAATTGTTATTTCATAATTAGTAAAAACTTTGGCAATAATTTGACAGGTAATTAAGAGTCTATACAACCACGGTTTTGCTTTAAATAATAGTTTCAATGGAAAGACAGGATCGTGCTGTCAAATGCCATCGGGCTGTTTCATGCCTTACGAAATTAACCAGCAGACGTAGAGTAAGCACAGAGATGCAGCGAGATACCGACCACGGTCTTTACCTCCTTGGTGGCCACGTTGTGCATAAGCGCCGTGCCCAGGTCGCGCAGCGTGGGGTCCTCGGCCAGCAGGGCGTGCACGCACACCTGCCACAAGAGGGACCAGTCAATATCCTCCAGAGTTCAAGGTCACGTGGAATACAGCTACATATTCCTGTTCCAAGTGTTATTTCAACATCACAAATATGTAAGTCCTCACCAGCTACAAATTTCCCTGATAGCTACATTCAAAAGTAAATGTCACAAATAAACTTCATACAAATAAAACAAAAATTTATATCGAGTACTATCCATTACACGGCCGAAATTCACCGCTGGAAAACTTGGGCCAGATTCAATATATGCGCTTCTACGAGTATGTACAATAAGATTAATGTTAGTATTCAAATCTGCTAGTTACGTGAATCCAAGTTATTTATCTATTAATATAATAATAATATAATAATAAATAATAATATAATTATTAAATTTTTTGCACAATACAATAAAGTAGAAATGGCAGACTTAATGCCATGAAGCATTCTGACAACCATTGGGCCAAATAGAAAAAAAAACAATAGGTTGGTACTACACTTTAAACAAGAATAAAAAATTACCATAAGTCAAAAGAAGGATGGCGGCATCCCATGTATTTTGTGACACGTGTTGTTTTGTGTTTTTGACGACGTGCATTAAAGAGACCTATCATACTTGTGATTCATTATCGTAGCCTCAAAAAACTGAGTACAGCATGTAAAAGCTGGGGTTATAGTTATATATATAGTATTATAGTTTAAGTTGATACAGGTTAAGTTTATTACACTGTTCTGTATTTCGCTTCAGATGTTTGTTTGTATTAGTTGTGTAAGAGTCGAATAACTTACCTTGGTGGTGGCACGAATGTTGGAGAGAGGCTGTCCTGCTGATTCCCACTCGCTTATGTACATAAGCCACTCCGAAGAAGATATGTTCTCGAAGAGATTGCACATCTGTAGATATTAATTATTTATAATAATAATAACGCACTCACACAATATTGCCCCGCACCTGGGATGCCCTGTGTCGCGAGTGCCATGGACACACGCATAAACAACAACAAATTACACCCAAACTCACGAGAGAAATAAATGTAGGCCATACAAATATTTCTCTAAGCTTGGGAATCGAACCTGGGACCTCTGCGTGGCAGCACGGCATGGTAACCGTTTGTCTATGGAGGCAGTTTGTAATGCAAATAAACTGAATCATATTAATATTTTTTATTTGATACATTTCAGAATGTGCGCGGGAACCATTCAATTTTGATCAACTCAGTGACCTTGCAGCTATACCCCTTCGCACAAAGCGCTTTGCTTTCGGTTAACTTGACGCCCTGATCTCGGTGGCTTAACGGTTTGCACTGCAGGCGTTGGATGAGGAGCTCCCAGATTCGATTCACGGTAAGACCAATTGGATGCTGATAAACAATAACGCGTCAACCCCAACGTGGTCATAGTTTTGAGAAAATAGCGTCTAAAGATTTCATATCACGTTGTTTATGCTTGTAAAATGTAGACGGGAAAAGAAGCTAGTATTTGGCATTAAAATCACAATTTTCGAGTTTTTGGGGGTTGACACGTTATTGCATATCAGCATCCTATTCAAGGAATTTTTATAAATTGATTCTGGTTTGGGTATTACGGCCAGTGCTCCAGATTGAATTATGTTGCCTGGTAATTGAGACTTGGTAAGTGGCGTGATTGTCAATAAAATGTAACTCCGTGTGGCAAAGGGCATGAAATACAGTAATCTGTGTTTTCCGACATCTACTATAACGACTATTCAAGACTACGTATAAACATTTTTTCGACAAATGTTTCTTAACAAAATGGATTTTTTAAATAATATCAAGTGACGGGACGAACAAGTGGTATGCTTGGTGGTAAGCTACACGCCTGTCCATAACAGTTGCAGTGCCACTCAGAGCTTTAGATCGCAAAGATCTTATGGGCACTGCCACTGCGCCCGTCACCCTGAGACATATCCCATGTGCCTGTAATTTCACCCGCACCTTTACTGCTCACACTGTTTGGCGGCAGAAACAGGTAAGTATCCTAGATGAGCTACTAAACGGAAGGCGGGGCAAAGAACAAGAAGATGACCCTATAATCACATTATATTTGGGTTTTAGTATGTAGGAATTTTGATATTATCATTATTTGTCTTACCTTGCTTTTATATATGTTTATTCATCAACTGCCTCCGTGGCCGAACGGTTACCATGCCGGACTGCCACGCAGAGGTCCCAGGTTCGATTCCCGGGCCGGGAGAAATATTTGTATGGCCTACATTTATTTCTCTCGTGAGTTTGGGTGTCATTTGTGGTTGTCTATGTGTGTGTCCATGGCACCCGCGACACAGGGTTTCCCTAGTGCGGGGCTATGTTGAGTGTGAGCGTTATTATTATTATTATTATTATTATTATTTACGTATTAATTATAATGTAAATAACGTGACCTTATTTCTTAGTTGTATTCGGCAAAACTCAACAAGAGTATTATAAAATCCTAGATATCGGTTAGATGAACAACCATATTTTTATCATTTTACAATTTAATTTAGCATTTCTATGCTAAAGTCACGTGTTATACTCATTTGAGTGAATTCAAAACTTAACGCTTCCCTGTAAACTTGGCAATTTCGACATACGATACTTTACTAACGTACGTAACGTACGTAAACGTAAACTGTTTTTTGTGTTGTTGTATTATGGCAACAAAAATATGTCTGTGAGACTCACGAAGAGGGCGGTGGCGATCTGTTCAGGCAGCGGGAGCAGGTCGATGCGGTGCGCGTAGGAGAGCAGCGCGTGGTGGCGCCGGTCCTGGTGCAGCACTAGCGACACGTCGTCGCGCAGCGCCGACGCCGCCAGGCAGCGCAGCGCGGCGGCGCGGGCCTCGGACGACACGCTGTCGTCGTTCAGCAGGCGCCCTGCGGCACACCCTCCACTTCACTACTCTCATACCACAACCACTGCCACTGTTCGACTCGATATGTAACCTTTGTTTATTCAACAAGCGAAATCGGAAAGCGAAATAAAAGGGCACTACCTAACTTCAGTGTGACTTGAACTGCTTAGATATTTTTATGTTTTAGAAATTTATATTTATAGGTGCAAGAATATATAGTAGTTTATGATATTCATACACATGAATTGGTTTTCATATTTATAAACATATGTATTCTTTCTTTTGTATATATGTATTCGTTTATCTATTCTTCATACACCGCCGTCTTTTTCCAATGAATTATATAATTATTTCCATCCAAACGTTGTCTGGCCGAAATAGCTTAAATTGATAAGACCGTCCATTGTACCACTAGCTTTTTGTTTAATTGTGTTGTATTTGGTGTACAATAAAGAATTTTTGTATTGTATTGTATTGTATTTAAACCATTTATTTACCACGCACAGTAATACGAACGGAACATAACAATTTAACAATATTGTTGGAACAACAACAATGCGTGGAATGAACAGTCTCAGTTTAATCCTTGTAGCTGTGGCTTTGTTGACACAACGTTTTTGAGCATAATCCAATTTAACTACACCACAGTCACGATAAACATCGAATATTAATTAATTATATCTGTTGCAATTATTAGTATAGACATGTTGTCATTGTTTTTCAACATAATCCAATTTAACCACACCACAGTCACGATAAACATCGAATCGACTGTGAACTGGCAACCGGTACTATCTCAATATTGACAACTTTACACGATGAAGAAAAAAATTGTTTGTGTCATTTATATAGCATCTAATTTATGAAATAAAAATACGTAGTGTATGTGTAATAAAAATATTTAAAAACTACGTATTTCTATTTAATAAATCATATGCTATACAAATGACATAAACAATTTTTTTCTTCATCCCGTAAAGTTGTCAAAATTGAGATAGTACCGAGTGCCAGTCACAGTCGGAATATTAATTAACTATATCTGTTGAAATTATAAACATAGAAATGGACGAGCCTCCCCGCACGACGTACCATTCTTTATCAATACGTGAGCTAAGATAACTTAGCTTCGCTCGCGGTGTGCCTCTCTACCTCTCTACGGACGCCTTCAAGCTCTTTTTTCATCCGGGTATGTGGATGCGGTTTCCACATATCCGGATGGAAAAAGAGCTTCCACTAGCTATGATCTAGATACATATCTTCCACCTCATCAACACGCATCAGTAGTTTCATACACGCTCGTCGGGTAAGGGTATTCTTGGCCTTTCTCTTAGAATTAATAACTGATTTTATTAGTACTAACAAACTCAAATTATAAAACTTATTTATTTAAATATCTGTTGTTCTGTACTGTTTCAGAAGCTGGAATAGACTAAAGAGCAGTAATAATTAATTAAACATCTACAAAATTAAAGTGTAACTCCCATGACTTGACATTGGCAAAATTCTTCAAGAGAAGTCAGAAACTTAAAAAAATAGAATAGAACTCAATTATTACCGGGTTACCTACAATTTTCCACGTATTATCAAAAGACTGTACTAAACTGCGAGCATACCCCCACCACTAAAAAAACTTACATTAAAATTTTAAATGTTCCTTCACGCAAGGCGGCCGGGTCCCGGTTTTTATTTCATTCATAAACCTACAACGCGCTCTTATTAAGATATACGCAGACATTCGCTTAAGTCTGCTGTAAAATGGCAGCCGAAAACTCGAAAACCATCGGATTATGTCGAATAGTATTCACATAAATTTAAATTTTATTACAACACACACACGGTTTATTTTTAAAGACTGATTTGATTCAATTCAATGGCCGAATCATTGCCAAGTGTGAAACTTCCTTAAAATAATGTAACAAAACTATTATAGCACAAAAGGTTAATTAAAAATAGTATTTTGTAAGTATTGAAAGGTAAATAGTGTTACGAAAATGTAAAGTTCGGATGTTTAATTTTGAACCGTTTATATGTAATTAGTAGTTGTAATAAAAAAAACTAAAATGACAGGACGAACAAATCGTACATGTGGTTGTAAGAGACACGCCTATGCATAACAGTTACAGTGTCACTCAGAGTTTTAAATCGCGAAGATCTTAGGGTTACCACCAATGCGCCCGTCACCCTGAGACATAAGTTGACAAGTGCCTGTAATTTCACCAGCACCCTGAACCTTCCAAACCGGAACGCGGTTATGCTCTCGTTACTACTTGGCGGCAGAAATAGGAAAGGAAGTACTTAACTGGACGAACTCTTTCACAAGGAGTTCTACTGTTAGTAGGTGTGCATGCTCCATTGTCGTGTCGACTCATCGAGTATATAACCAGAAATAGAGACGAAATAAGGGCCATATATTCCTGGTAAACATTAGCGATACAGCTCTTATAAATATCAACTCTCGTTTGCACTGAAATATAGACAGGCCAACTACAGACCTGTGTGTACGTCCGTATATTCCAAAAAATATTCTACATTTATTGTAATAAAGATAATAACTCTAACAATGCCGCGCTATTCTATTCGGTGGTGTGGGAAAAACAGGAAAACATCTAATTACAAAACAAACGGAATCAAATTTCATCGGTAATTAAACATTAAAAATGTAATTTTGATATTTTCGTCCATTATAGCAAAGCTCAAGTTAACTAGTTGATTTGAAGTGAAACAGTTGACGACACCCGTCAATTGTTTCGAACTCGGGTTAGCCAATCGGAGCGCAGTTGTGACAGTAATGATATGGCAGAAAAGTTTTCAAACAAATTAAATGACATTTCGCCTCTATTTCTGGTTATATACTCGATGTGTCGACTTCACGGTCATTCTCCGTCAAGTAAGTGAAATGCGCACTGTATTTTATCCATTAATATTTCTGATTTCCCAAAAGCCAAAGAGACTAAAACACTCACCAAAGAAAGCGAGGAAGTCATCACCCAGTACCCAGCTACCTTCGCCGTGTACCAGATACTGTTGCAACTCGTCCAGGCTCTGCTTCTCTTCAGGGCTCAGCGACACGCCTTCCAATGCAGCGCTCAGCTTCTCAAACTCCGCAGCGCCCTGCGGTACGGAATGTACACAATAGAGTTTTACCATATATATTATACCATATATTATAAGTTATATACCATACCGATTCGCTACGCTGTGAAAGTGAAACTATTTTTTCGGGTCTTAATTGCGTATATTTGTTTTTTCAATCACTAAAATCATGGTACCTGTAAGCCCAAAACGTGGACTTGAAAGAACAAATCGACCTTGGAAAGATAAAATGTCTAACGTGCATTTGGAAAATATATCAGGAGAGCGATTTAGATATTTTTTTTATAATATCAAGTGGCCCCCCGAACAAGTCGTGCGCCTGTCCATAACAATGGCAGTGTGCTTATAGCTTTAAATAGCAAACATCTGAGGGGTACTGCTAATGCGCCTGTCACCGTGAGACATAAGTTAACATGTCCCATATGCCTGTAATTTCACCAGCACCCTCTTACCCTTCAAAACCGGAACACAGTAATGCTGACATTACTGCTTGGCGGCAGAAATAGGTAAGGTGGCAGTACTTCCCTGGACGAACTCTTTGACAAGGAGCTCTACTGCTATTTAAGTTTTATTTGTTATATGGAAAACTAGAAAGTTTCAGGTTTTCCATATAACAAATAAAATTGGAGTTATGATTGTTTATCTAGAGCACTACAAATAATATAATAAGAATACCGCACACACTCATAGCCCCATAATAGGGTAACTCTGTATTGCTTAACCACAAATATATATACACAAATATAGACAACAATAAATTATACCCTTACTTACGAAAAAATAAATGCAGGCCGTACAAATATTTCTCCCGGCCCGGGAATCGTACCTAGGACCTCTGCGTTGCAGACCAGGATGGTAACCGTTCGATCATGGAGGCAATTAAATTAATATAATCAAACCAAATCTTATTGTCATATACAATCAAACAATGGTTAATAAATAACGCACACACTCAACATAGCCCCGCACTAGGGAAACCCTGTGTCGCGGGTGCCATGGACACACAGATAGACAACCACAAATTACACCCAAACTCACGAGAGAAATGAATGTAGGCCATACAAATATTTCTCCCGACCCGGGAATCGAACCTGGGACCTCTGCGTGGCAGTCCGGCATGGTAACCGTTCGGTCACGGAGGCAGTTAAATAGGGAGGCGGTTAGATAATCCTTATTAAATAAGTAATAATAAAATATAGTAGCCGTGGCAGCCTAATGGTAACCTACCGCCTCTCAAACAGAGGCCGTGTGTCTGAATCCAGACTCTCACCTCTGAGTTTTTCGGTGAAGGAAAACATTGTTACGAAATTTGCACGTTGAAGAAGTTCACAACCTCCTGAAAACGTGTGATGTCCCTAATCCGTATTGAGCGTGGCTGACTACGGCCCAAAGCCTCGCCTGAGGGGAGACCCGTGGTCAGTAATGACACGTATATACGTGTTGATAATGAAGTGATGGGTAATTTTTAAGTTAGTTTTCTCTACCTAATTTTGGTGGCAATTTTTATTATTTAAGCATTATTATCATGAAATATTACGTAATATTTTTTTAATTACACTCGAATATTAATAATACCATATGATAATATTGTAGAATATTCAAGTAATAAAAATTGCCACAGAAATTAAGTAGAGAAAACTAAGCTGAAAATTACCCTTCTTCTTCTTTATAATGTTCCAGCTCATCGATACCACCGATGGTTCTGCTAATGTTCGAGTTAAGGAACGCACGCGTTTTTTACTCACAATTTGACCGGAATAAATCCAAAACTAAGCAGACGGCATTTGTCTTTTATTGAATACTCCCTCGAATTTATAAAATGCTTGCATGTATTTGTTTTAGATTTGTGATAAAATTCGAGAAGTTTTTTAAATTTTTATTGAATTTATATTCAATTATTTTTATGTGAAATTACTCCACTAGTTCGTTATATTTTATTTTATAAGAAAAAAATGTGCGTTTGACCTCCATTTCACATGATGGATAGTGATGGTGAGGTCGACGAAGTAGCATGCACACCTAAATAATTATTAATACAAAGGTAACGAATTTTTTCTGAGATCCCGGATTCAAACTGACGTCTTGCCAGTCTGGAGGGAGAGTCCCCACATAACCCCTGAGTCTCCCTGGGCTCAGGGGTATCCATAAAGATTTCCCCCCGTCAAAAAAAAAAAAAAAAAAAGGCGCTATACCAATAACTTTATTCGTTTTTTGTTTATTTAATATACTACCACAAATTTTAATTGCCATTGAGTTTGACCAGATCTATACATCATACTAAGAGTTTTAATAAACGTTTCTTTTATTAACCGACTTCAAAAAAGGAGGAGGTTCTCAATTTGATTGTGTGTTTTGACCGGTTTGTTGATTATTAGTAAGTTTCGATGATTATTTCTTTGTCGGAAAGAGGATATCTCACTAGTGGTCCCATTTGAAGAAGATATTCCATCTCTAAGGGTAGCAAACTAGGGGATGTATGACTTTGAGGTCGGTTTTTTTAGTACTTTGTACAGATTTATTTTTACTGTTGTGATTGGGCAGTAGATGCATATGCTCATTCTGCAAATTTACAGTACCCACGAATGTAAATTTGTTTGTTTCCCCAAATAAAATAAAACAAAAAGAAATGTGTTTATAATTATAAATCTCTCATATAACATTGAACTATTAGACGGCACCTGTGGTGAATTGTTTGTTTGGGTTACAGCGCACGTGGCCATTCCAAAATTTGTATCGCGACGCAATACTCGCACGGATGCAAGTGTCTAATCGCGAACGCAATTTTGCACCCGGTTTGAGTTAGCAGTTTATTCGGGCGTTGCATTACCACAGAAAGTAACAACGGTGGTAGTTCAGTTGGTTACATATATCTCTGAATGCTTCTCGTTCAGTTCAAAACCATCGTAATGAAATTTACACGTCGTAAAAGGTTCACAACCCCTGGAAAATGTGTAAAATTTCAATCCGCTTTGGGCCGACGTGGAAGACTTTTTAGAGAAAACCCATGCTCAGCAGTGAGGTGTTTATGACCGGTTGATGATGATGATCCTCTCTGTTCCCTCTCTGTACAGGAGATCTGTGCCAGTGGTATGGCATTAACTAGAGCATAAAGTCCAAGAACTCAGAAATTGTGTGTCCGTACAGTGAATCATGAATGAGCCATAAGTGATTATTTTAAACGATGATGGAAGTGTTTGTCTCCAGACTCGTGCGGAACAATCTGGAATAATGGGTTTTAATGCGCTGCGTTGGCGGCGCGGGCGCAGGTGGTTGATGCGCTGTACATGCGAAACTAGTTAATGTGATTCAGAGTCAAATGTCGCGCAATAGATTCTACGTCACCACAAAACAATGAAGCTTTTCCATCTTTAATACTGTCTATATTTGTTTATCTGAAACGTCGATACGTTTACCTCGATAGGTACCACGCAAAAATAAATATTGTACGAAAAGCATATATTATTACGCAGCACCTGCGAAAGCTCGCTTCGTGAGTTGATTTCGAGGTCAATACCACTGGCTAAAACAAAATCCTGTCCATAAAAGCGACCTGTGTCCAATGCAACAATGAAAAAGTTAAAATGCAACTTACATCAATATCTCTATAGATGATAGGTGGATCCCGTGAGCGGCGGCGCTCTTCCTCCTGGCGTCGCTCGTCAGCGTCCATCAAGGCATCGGTGCTGGGGCCTGCCAACTGTTCGGACACCACCGGCGCTACATCCACTGCTTCCGCCATATCTGCGCGCACACACAAAACACTAAGCCGTTTGCACTTCACTCCCACGTTAACGAGCTCCCTAAAGTTGATCTAAAAGTTGATGTCGAAATGGTCAATCCCTTTTTTAGTTTTGTTTTAGAGCCGCGATGTTGATACGTTCATACAGCAAAGTGGAAACTACCGAAAGAAACGAAACGAGCTCAGACGTTGACGCGATTAGGGGATACACGAGTATCTCGACCGCGATATAGGTCTGTGGGGAGCTCGCGGAAAAATCAGGACGGCACGCCGCGGTCGTTAACCCGCGAGCTATTTGTGAACGCGTAATGCACGCCCCTCGCCGTGCACCGGCTTATCGCCGAGCACGTGGTGCACAAAAGGGAGGGCACTGGGGCACGGGACCACGGGGCCACCAGTCCGATGGTGTATGCCGGCGGAGCAATCATTGTGCGGGATGAGGGGTACCCACCTGAAACCCGAATACAAGGTGCTGGAGACGAGTGATCGGCGCGAGATCGCGGCGTGAATGCCGTCGCCACCCGCCACAGCTGGCAACGTTCCAGGTCTAGCACTATATTTATAAAAAGTCGAAGCATCTAAACCAACGCGCTGTAGTTGAAACTTTCGATTCTACTTACGTGGTGGTAGATATCGTTGCTCACGATGTTACAAATACAATTACAAAAATATCTATTGAATTCATTGACCTACCAATAAATGGACATCGGGTTCGCGCTTAAAAGTGTCCGCATTTATAGGGCGTTAAAATCACATACAGAGCGTCAATCGCACAACAGTCTTCGTTTGTTCGACTGTCAGCGCGGTTGTCAATCATGCATTACCATATAATAATAACTTGTAAAAATTACTGCAGTAAAGTGTAAAAACTGGGTTTTGTATTATATTTTCACTAAACAAATATATTGTGTTATCATAGTTCTCATTTAAAAATGTTATTTTGGACAGTTTTATAGTATTTAATATATATATAAATGAATCGTAAATATAAATTGCAAGCGCACACAAAATAATCAAATAGCTAACTGTCCTTTTTCTACACATTACATGCGCAAAAGATGGAAAGAGACCCATTGTGTCAATTTCAAGAAGCTTATATATAAACTTCTTGATCATTTTCAATTGTTCGAACCACAAGCGATTGAAATATTTAGAACAAAGAAACTATAGAGTCGCTTTGATTTTAATCTTATTTTTAAAATGATTTTTATCAAACGTTAGCAATAATTAACAAAATATTGTTGTACTCGTTTTACGGCTTGGGATTACCTATTAGAAGTCAGAAAATATATTTGCCCGAAATAACGTTACCTCGACTTTTCATAATGTCAAATGTATTTTTTTAGAAAGATTACAAAGTAAAAACTAATTTTGTCTTTGTGAAAAGCATTAATATTACACGAAAGCGTAACGGTTTTATTATAAATCGGTTTTCGGAATTACGGATATTTGAGTTTACATTTAGTTGGAATATCGGTACATTTCTTATAGTACACGCTTATTTTCACATTTGTAGTAATATTTGTAAGTATGTATCTGCCCAACTCTTTATTATTTCTTTAAGTGAATATGTACAAAATTCGACATAATAATATATTATATAAAAATTAATTAATATTTACGATAAAGGCTACTCCATTACTCTTGTGTTCAAGTAATTTTCAGTCGAAGCTAAATATGGTGCATTTTGTTAAATTTCCAGTAGAAGCTGAATATGGTGTTTTCGGGCCCTTAAATTGTTGCAAGCAAAATTAGGCAGTACTGCAATGACGTTACAATTTAAATTAAATGTTTTAGTTTTTTATATTTCGTTACATGTCACTACGTTTGTATAGGTTAACTTCGGACATTTTTTTCGTGGTTTTTGTATTAGACCCGACGTCCATTTGTTGGTAGGTTAATGATTGAATTACACAATTGAGACTTTAGTCTGTCCTCTTTATTATAACTAACGTAATCGTCATTTTTAGCGAAATTTAGTTATTAACATATCTGGAATCAGCAAAACAAGATTTAAAACCCCCTTCATGTGGTTTTTTTAATACCTTATTTAGTTTTAGTTTTATTGTTAGGTGAAATCAGCGTAATTGACAAAACAAAAAACTTTAAATGCCAATATCTCGAAAGTTACCAAAACGCAATTGCGTTGATTATGACAAGGAGGACAGAGTTGTTTTTCATTTTCGATACCTCACACGTAAGTTGTAGTAAGTCAAAATACATTTTTTTTGCGTTTTAACTTAAATATTATATTCTTTATTCATGTACATTGTAAATTCCATGTTTGACAGTAAACATAACACTAAGTGATTTCTTTGAATAGTCATAGTAATTAATTGATAACAAAAAAGTTACAAGTCACAAAAATTTTACTTAACTTGATTAATTTACAAGAAATAATTAATAAGATAATTAAATCTTAATAATAATTCATTAAATAATAATAATATAATAAAAAAAAAGCTACACAAAAACAATAACAAAAATACAAACAAAAATATTATCAATTACATTACAACTACGTCAAATTACTAATAATAATATGAAACGTATAACATAAAAAAAGGATATATTTAAGTTAAAAAGACAAAAATGTATTTTTGAGTTACAAGAACTTACGCGAGATGTATCGTTTTATAGTACAGACTTTTAGAAATTTTAACAATCCTAATCAATGTGTTCTCCCCTCCATGACGTATGGTGCTGAGACATGTACGCTCACGCAGGAGACTATAGGTTGAGAGTTGCACGGAGGGCCATAGAGCGCGCCATGCTCGGCGTCAGCCTTATAGACCGTGTTCCGAACGTTGAGATCCGAAGACGAACGAAAGTCCAGGACGCCGGTACTCGGATCATGGAACTCAAATGGGGTTGGGCGAGACACATAGCAAGGCAAGGTGATGACTGGTGGAGCAAGGTGTCGGCTGATTGGTGGCCGAGGATGGGGAAAAGAAGGCCCCCATTCGCGTCACTAACGTCAATGGATGCAGCTAGTACAGGACCGTGGTGGATGGCACAAACTTCGGGAGACCTATACACAGCAGTGGGTGAAATCACGCTGTGGATGATGATGATAATGATGATAAGCGGAATCTTATAGAAACGTGCCTTTACTATGAGTACATTTCGATACGGCCGCATAACACATATTCCAATTTTGTATAGCAAATTGTATAGCGCCCCTAGCGGTCACTAGAAGAAGTAATATTTTGTATTCAAATATTTGACACGGTCGCACTGCAACTGTAAATTCATGTTAGGTACCCAAACGAGTGTAAATGGTTATATGTCGGTATTTCCATATTATATTATTTTGTGTATTCTTTCGCGAGCTGTAACTGTAACGTGATAGATACAGTAACGAGGTTCTAGTGTGTGTGCGTAAAACAGTCTTCACTCGCTAGAATTAGTACCTGGTTATCGTCGGCTCACTGTGAACTATACACACTATGATTTTTGGTAATATACATGCAACGGTTACGGTCACAGCTCACTCCGAGTATCCGACTTTAGATGGCGTATTTTCCTTTTAATATTTTTTTTTCATCACACTTTTTATTTTTTTATTTCACACACGACAAAATTCAGCAAATTTTTTTTACAATCCTTCATGGCTGTATGGTTCGTTGCTTTTTACCACATTTCAGTTAGAGTTGTATTATCTATGGAAATATAGAAAGCCGGTCATCTGTTGGTTAAAAAAAAAACAAAAATCCCGCCATTTGCAAAATCCATATTTGTTGTGTTGTGAACCACATTTACTCATACAAGAAATAAACATTTTATTTAATTCCTCGCAAATTTTTGACAAAATTTTACCTTCTTTCACAGTCTATCGATAAAACAGTCGACAACAATACATGACTATTTAAAAATGCATGAAAATTGGCAATCCTGCAAATGTCATTTTACTCCATCTTCAATAAAGACAGACTATAGATTGCAGTTTTTAGCGTGATATTTGTGTCCGATTAGTTCAACTGATTGAACTTATAGTTGAACTTAGTGGAATAGATCGATAGAATAGCAGCTCCTTAATCGAGAGGTTGACAGTTCCAATCCCTGTAGGGACAATTACCTATTATTTTCATTTGTAAGTATATACATTGCTGAATGAGTAGTAAGTGAAGGAAAGCATCATAATGAAGCATGCATGTCTAAAAAAGTTTGGAAAAAATATTTTCAGTTAGGTTGTAAAAGAAAAGTGGACAGCAGAGTTTAGAGGAATTCTCATTGCGATAATATGCGCCTTGGTCTGGAAATCAGACGTGAAAAATAAGTCTGTGAAACGTGAGAACAATATAGTTTTTAAATGGGAATTTAAGTGTTGCAGGTATTTATACTAGAAGTTAATATCAGTTCTAATCCTTTCATGAAGCAGGTAAACTAAGGACGTTTCCCAAGAACGCGTGATAAGATAGATGAAGATGATAAGTAGGTATTGAATAAAAGTAATGAAATAAATATTGGAAATTGCTATATTCACTTGCTAGTTGTCCCAATCAACACAGTGCAGAATTTTGATAAGCTGAGACTGTAATCCAAGATGATTATAGACTAATTCCGAAAAGCTTCGGATGCATTTTGCAGAGTTTATACGGGCCTAAACAAGTTTTGACATGATACAAACGACAAAAACTGAAGGGTTATGGGTAAGGCTGCATTAACATGCAATCAATCTGTTAATGCAGTTAATGCGTGAAATCGTAATCAACTTCACGCATTAACTGCATGAAGTCGAGGTGTATGAAGCTGATTACGATTTCACGCATTAACAGCAAACATGCAGTCAATCTGTTAGCAACCTAAGACTGACCGTCCAGGTCTGCATCGCCGCTGGCGTGGCCGTTGGCGAGTTGCTTCTTCTTGCGCTTGTCGCGCCGGCGTTCCTTACGCGCCAACTTCTCGGCCAGTGTACTGCGCCGCGCCTCCAGTGCCGCTGACGCCACCCTGCCAACCCATGCAAGCGTCACCTCTCCGCATCTTTCTCGTGTCAATTCCGGTCGCCCCAATCACTCTTTACCCCATCGAGTCAAACAAGTATTCGTCTGTGCTCTACGCGTCGTAAAGACGATTTCGAATAACCATTTTGCAGTTACTTTTGTAATGAACTGCACAACGCTCGATGTTGTACCAGAACATCTGTACTTTTGACACAATCAATCTCCTAATGACACGAAGATGCATAAAAATATAATATAGTATAGTCAAAAGTGTACGTAAAGTGTATGGCCCCGGTGTGGCAACGAACGCTGGTTCGAGTCCAGCCATATCGAAAGATTTGTTTGTGTTGTTCGATGTATCAATAATAATACTAAATAATAATGATTTCAGGTTCGATTCCCGGGCCGGGAGAAATATTTGCATGGTCTACATTTATTTCTCTCGTGAGTTTGGGTGTAATTTGTGGTTGTCTATGTGTGTGTCCATGGTACCCGCGACACACATTTCCCTAGTACGATTTTACAAATCGTGCAGATTGTTAGGTAGGTTTGAAAATTCAGGTAATAGCGTTAATATTGTTGAATGTAAGAAAATACCGACCATCGCAAGGGAGGCGGATACATATAAAGAAAACATGTGTTTGAAGTCTTTCTTACGCAATGTTAACTGTGCTGTCGGCGTCATCGTTTACCAGTTGCAAGTACAATACAAAATTATCAAAGCCCCCGTAACCCCGTCAGTCCCAATCGCAACCCGAGACTACGCGCTACTGGTTAAGCTACAAACAAAAGCATGAAAAATCGTTGACTGTGTTTATTGGGCAGAGAACGAACACGCGGGAGAAGTGGCCGGAGGGTCAGAAGCGGGCGAGGGCGCGCGTGTCGTTGCCGGGCGGCGCCGCGCGCCTGCGCAGTTGGCGCACCAGCTGCGCGCCGCGCAGCAGCACGGCCAGCGCCACGGCGCAGCGCCCCGCCCGCCGCGCGTTCCCCGACGACGTGGTCGCAGTCCCGCCCTCTACGCTCCCCGGCACCGATCTACACACACGCTGCCGTTAGTCGATTACCGGTCCTTCGCGAGCGAAGATCGGGGCTATCTTGGGAAAACGTGTGTGGTGTTTATCCTAAGACAATGGCACATCTTTTGTCGTACCCTGTACAACGCCACTGACAATGCTGTGTCGATTAGAGTCGGCACGCTAAGAAGAGACGAGGACGTTAGCGCTTATAAAAGAAAACAGATTTCAAAAGTTCGTGGAATTACGTGCCAAATTTAATGAAATCGGTTAACGGAAAGTGCGCGAAACCGGATTCATCCCCTAGTTTGCTACCCTTAGAGGTGGAATATTTTCTTTAAATTTAAATAAAGTACCCTCTTTTGAACAAAAAGAAAGAATCATCAAAATCGGTTCACCAATTTTGACGATTCTTTTTTTTTGTAAAACCGGACTGGAATAATCGCGTAACACACATAAAAAAAAATACAGTCGAATTGAGAAACTCCTCTTTTTGAAGTCGGTTAAAAGCGATTTGAAGTGTCAGGTCAGGGAGGAGGGGCGCAGAAGAGGTAAGGACGGGAGGTACCTCGCGTCGCGGTCGATGCACGAGAGAAGCCCCGAGAGCGGCGCGGGCGTCCCGAACAGCAGGCCGGCGCGCGCCAGCCAGCCGGCCACGACCGCGCTGCGCCGCAGCAGGCCGTCGCGCAAAGGCCGCTCGGGCCCCGCGGCGCGGTCGCAGCTGCGGCGCTGCGGGCCGCCGCACCGGCACAGCGCGCACGCGCATTGGCACCTGCACCACACGCGCGCTCACCCCCGCACTGCCCCGGACCGCGGCCCGTTCCCACTACCCCCGATGGGACTGACAGGGTTGGCGAGGTCAACTACGACACCGACGACGACGTATTCGTTGAGTCGATACTCGAAACTACACCCAGCTCACTTTCCGATTCTTGTCATTGAGCTCGTATTAGCGAATAGCCGAGACCTAATGCCTAATTTGTTGCCGGGCACAGTGAGACCATACTTATTTTTTATAATAATAATTATTTCAACAAATAAATCGGTTAATTTCATTATTTAATTCTACACAAACTATATTTTCGAATTTGAATCGCGTACCTTTTTTTTCTTTTAAGTAACATATTAGGGTGGTTTGCATTAATATTAGATATAATACATGACTTTGCCAGCTCAGTCAGCCGTAACCACAAGCCTTGTAAAGGTCTCGATTGTTTGCAAAAAATAGATATACGCAATTTGAATGCGAAAAAATAGTTTCATCACCAATTATTGCACAAGATTAAAATAGTACAGAAATTAAACAACCTGGCTTCCTCGATCTGGTCATTGAGCGTGTGGAAGTCGGGGCTGTCCTGCCGCGCGTGCCGCACGCCCGCCGCATACACCGCCTGCGCACGACACGATGTACTTGTGCAAATAGAAGTAAGCTCAAATATCGCACACACGCTATCCCCTAACCGTGCCAGATGAAACACAAGTGTGAAGTACTAGACTGATCAGTGAATTAAGAACCAAGAAAAAAAACTTGAAGTGGAGTTTTTGTGATAAAAATTTGTACATATCTTTTGTGTAACGGTATAAACTAGATGCGATACGGTAACTGCGGAACCCCGAGTCTGTGTGATAATTCTCCGGAAGACTTCTTTCCTTAGGGTTAGGCTAGACGAGCGTAATCTTGTGAGTTATGTGTGAATTTATTACGTCTATTTTTTTCAAGCTTATAAGCATTTAATTTTCCATTCTTGTCAAATACCCTATTGTATGAAAGTATTTTTTCGGATCTAAATCGAAACGTTGGTTTGATTGAAAAAAAAACAAATACATGCGATTTCAATCCGAAAAAATAGTTTTATATCCTATGTGTAACATTCGCGAAAACCAAAGAACACGGTATCTATTGTATGTCAAAAACGTCAACGTTGATGTCATGTTATGTGTCAAGATTTGTTTAGGTGCAAAGGTTGTGTCATGCGGGACACCGAACTAGGAACATGTACAAATAACGCTGATGGTGCGAGTTCCCGTCCCGCGACCCGCAAATCATGGGAGGAACGATTCTATAATAAGCCAGCTAAGTAAAAATGAATAGGCCAAAAAGGCAACCAATGATGCCAGCTTCATAGGTGTCTAATATCGATCTAAGGTCTTTTTTCTCTCTATGCATTTTACAATTAGAGTAGACCTGTGGCCGGCAGTGGGACGTATACAATGTATTGATTTACATTCTAGCCCTATTTACAGAGGTAATTTTATATCCGAATCTGAACCCAAATCACTAAAAAAACTAATCGAAAAAAAAATCTTATTTTTTATTTAATCGAGTTAAACATCGATACGCAATCACGTGATCTCCAATCCAAAGGTCGACTTGCACGGTACGTGCTACCAAAATTTATAGCGCAGCCGGAGGAACCGAAAAATTTCTATCTCTTTGTTTCTCAAATGCAGCGCACGCGCCTGCAAGCGAGCGCACTAGTTGAAGGTGAGATAGCTTCGAAATTTTAGTGATCTATTAGCTAGTCTCTCAAGAAATGTCACGTGGTGTGATATGCAAATAAGGGTTAGTGCAAAAAAGAACCGCTACCAGGTTCACCAGAACCTGCATTACCATCAAGTGAAAGAGCGTGCACTATTGTGAAACGTTTAGTTTACGCGGAGGGCATTACGAGTGTCGAAAAATTGCAAAAATCGTCTCTGCTTTCAATATTGTGAAGTCAAATGTGGAAAGTTGAAACGAAACTCACGTGCGAATCTCTGCATAGCTGTGGAGCTAGCAATACTTTTATGTAACCTAAAGTTGGTAGGTACCAAATCTAAGTTACAAAAAAACCTTTTTCAGTCAACTTTTCTAATGAATATAAATAAAATTAGTAAATTATAACAATACTAACTAGTACATAATCATATTAAAAAAATAGGTAAATAAGCGATCGAGAAAGATTACGTATCGCTCTGTGACGGGTGGCGGGGTCACTGCCCTCGCGCGGTGCATACGATTGAGGTACAATTGTGCAAAACTTTACTAGATACAATTAGCTAGAATATTGAACAGAATATATTTTTTTATATTAATAGATGATTTAGCATTATTTCTATTATTAATTTCGTAAATATGGCGAGAATTACAAATCAACACATTGTATATATTGATGATGATGATTACATATAGGGTTATTCAGGGCTGGGCAAAATACATGCTACATCTTAATTGAAATACAAATTA